GGGGCAAGGACCTGACGTTTGTTTTCGACCGGGTTTTCGGGGAGGGGGCCACGCAGGAGGAGGTTTTCCAGCACAGCACCCGCGGGCTCCTGGACAGCGTCCTCAGGGGCTACAACTGCTCCGGTGAGACCCTCCAACGCCTTCGCTCCCTGGGCAGCTCCGGGCCCCTCTGCTCCCGGCCCGGCCGGGCTCCCGGGAGCCCTGGGGGGCTTTTGGAAGCCCCGGGCAGTTGGGCGGGGGGGGCAGCTCAGCGAGACAGGGACGTGTGGCCTTTCCTGTGGTGGCACCGAGCGCTGGGGGTTGGGCTGGGGATGATCCTGGGCTGGGAACGGTGTCTCCTCTGGGCACAGGAGGGAGGGGAAGCAACAGCTGAAGCGTTTTTCTAGCACCAGGGGCTGGTTTGGGTTGGAGGGACCCGAAAGCTCCTCCAGTGCCAGCCCCTGCACGGGCAGGGACACCTCCCAGCAGAGCTCCCAGACCCATCCCAGCTGCCTTGGGCACTCGCAGGGATGGGGCAGCCACAGCTTCTCTGGGCAAGCTGGGCCAGGGTGTCAGCAGCCTCGGGGTCCAACCTTTCTCCCTGGTGTCCCCTCTGGCCCTGGTCCTGGTCCCTGGAGGAGATCATCTCCTCTCGGCAAGCTTTCCCACAAGAGCCTGGCCTGGATGATCTCTCCAGCTCCCTCCAGCCAGGGGTGCTTGCAAGAGGGTGTTGAGAGCTTGGGGGGGGAAAGGAGAGGGGCTGCAAGGTCTGGGAGCCAAGGTGTGTGGTTCTGTGCTGGGAGTGCTGAGGGGCTGGGCACGGCAGGAGGTGGGATGGAGGGGCTGGAATGTGGGGGCAAAAGCCCTTCTGGGGAGGGGCGGGGAAGGGGCTGCTGGGCTTGTTGAAGGGCAGGGTCAGGGGGGACTTGAGCAGCAAGTGGGTGATGGTTTGTGGAGTGGTTCTGGCTGTGCTGGAGGAGAGAGGCTGGAATGAGGGGCCGTGTCAGTGCGGGCAGCAGGGGGGCAAGGAGCTGTGCCCCGTCTCCCCCAGGCTGGCAGTGCCCCCAGCACAGGGGCTGCTGCTCCCCCTCCCGGAGGG